ATTAAGAAAAGGGGATTTAAAGAGATTAGTTTAATACTTAAAGGTGGCAAAACAGTCTAGATCCTGGTTAAATCAATACACACAGACACACACACACACACACACACACACACACACACACAGACACATGCATACAAACACGCACACACATTTTTACAAACAACACTTAAATCCAGCTCTTCTCCATGTTTGAAATACCTTTACCCCTCATCAACACCTAACTTCTTCTCAGTTTAACTCTCCACATTTTCCATGAAATACTTTATAACTACTCAGGCCTACAAAGACCTCTGTGCTTCATGGCCATTTTTGCACTTAGAGAGTCAATCTTGCTCCTGATTTGCATTGTTTATGTCACATGATTATATAAAAGTCTTATATTCCAACTAGAGTGTAAGTTGGAGTCTCTTTTCCCATTCCTTGAATTTGGGCTGGCCTTGTGACTAGCTCTAGCCAACAGAATGTGGAAGAAGTGATATTTCAAGCATGGGCCTCAAGAGGTTTTCACACCTCCTCCTGCTCTCCTGGAACCCTGCCAGAAGGCCACGTGAATAAGCCTGGACTGGGCTGCTGGCTAGTGTGAGATCACAGGGAGCAGAGAAGAGTCGGCTGAGCTAAGGCACGCTACCCTCAGGCAAGCCAGAGCCCATCCGGCAGCTGATCTCAAAGTATGAGTGAGCTCAGCTGAACCTAGCCAATCTGTAGAAACTTGAGCTAAATAAATGGTTCTTGTTTTAAGCCAATGTTTTTGGGTGATTTGTTATGCAGCAAAAGCTGTTGAAATAATTGAAACATACACAGTTGTTTTAGCATTCCAATGAAATACTTAATCATACCATGCCTTATATTAGAATCAAGTATTTGCTGTTCACCTCTTTGTTACTGGAAGGCAGAGACTGTATTATATTCATTTGTGTATTCCCACAACACCTAAGTTGTGCTTTGTTCACAGTAGGCACTCAGAGTTTGATAAACTGAAATGAAAATCATCTGAAGTTCAAATTCCGGTGTTCATCAGCATAATTTACTTAATTTTATTTTTTTTACCTTTTGTTTTGTTTTGTTTTTTTGGTATGCGGGCCTCTCACTGCTGTGGCCTCTCCCGTTGCGGAGCACAGGCTCCGGACGTGCAGGCTCAGTGGCCATGGCTCACCGGCCCAGCCGCTCCACGGCATGTGGGATCTTCCCGGACCCGGGCACGAACCCGTGTCCCCTGCATCGGCAGGCGGACTTGCAACCACTGCACCACCAGGGAAGCCCTACTTAATGTTTAACAACAGAAGAAAACACAAACCATAGTACTGCTTAAGAATCAAATAACTACTGAGGATCTACTATTGGCCTTGTGTTGTTATTCTCAATTATGAACCATTAAGGGCCACCGATTATCAGTACTTGGAATATAAATGCTACTTCAAGATAGTTAATAAGTGAGCCTTTAAGTTGTCCTTCTCAAGATTTAGCATTAAGCCAAATTTCGATTTTCATAGAAACATGCACATATATTTGATACATGAATGTGAAGTTGTACTGCAATCGTACTTTTATGAGCCTGGGAATTACAGAAATTATAAAGTGGCAAAGAAGAAGATTTTGATTTGCACTAATTCACATTAACAGCTGTTTTTCTAAACTCAGAAACCTGACAAATGAGCTATGTAGGTAAATATACTTTAACTTTGACGTGCTATAAAAGTGTAAAATATCATGAAAGCCTGTGTATTCAAAATGTCATTTCACTTTTTTCCTTAAGAAGTAGAAAAATTAGAATAGACAGGACGGCTCAGAAAGGATGAATAGTTTTGCTATCCACATCTAATTTGCTTCCTAATAAAATTCTATGGCTTTTAAATGACACTCTGCTATTATAGTCTATACAGAGATGAGTTCATCAAATATTCCATGTTTTGAATATTTTAAAAATTATCATTCAATTGATAGAGCCTGAAACACTGTAAAGCAAAAGAACATGAAAGCATGATCAGAATGAATACATTCACAAACCAGTGAAGAAAATACACTCAATGACAGTAAAAGAATATCCTTGCTGCACTGAACTGGGGACAAATCCCCTTTTTGCATGGGTGCGTGTATGTATCCTATAACTTGCCTTAACTTTAACTTCTTCCTTTAACTTTGGCCATTCCTGATTAATACTGTTATCTTTGACTTATAAAGGGCATAATGGTTAAATCAGGTAGTAAGGTGGATAACTGAGTCAGGACCTTAAAAGGTTTAGACAGGCTAAATAAATAAGAATGATTAAAATCTGGTTTGTTAGTAGAATGTCTAAAAGGAAAACGCAGACCAAAGAGAGTAAAGTCTTCAATTGTGGTGTGTAAAATCAACCACATAAAGACTAGATATGGAATGAGTAACAATGCTACATGTGAAAAAGATTCAATTACTAGCAGATGGAAGCTCAATAAATCAGGATAGAAAGCCTGGCCCCCAAATTGGAGTGCATTAATAAAAATACAAAGAGTGAAAGGGTCAAAGTTAAGTGAGACATATTTTAGCCAACTTAAGAAATACGTTTCTTTCTTTCTTTCTTTCTTTTTTTTTTTTTTAAGAAATACGTTTCTTATAATCAGATTGTCTTGAGGTGGACCCTGCTGCTTTGGGGAAGCAAGTTCTCTTCAAGGAGAATATTCAAGCACAGTTTAGGGTGCTGTACAGGGATTCCAAGTATCAAGCCAAAGGTTATACTACATGATTTTTAAGATTAGCACCCAGCCCACAAATTCCATAACTCTATTTTAGGATTCCAAAGAGTACAGGCAAAAGGACACATACTCAAGGACACCTAGTCATGTCTCATTTGAGGTCAAGCTATCTCCTTTGAAACCACACTTCCAGACTTTCTATTATAATCGGCACATCTCTTATAGTTCATTAGCTGCTCACTTTAAAAATGATGGTCACTTTAAGTTATGAGAATGACTAAGATGAACTGCAAAGAGATAAATATTTTCAGCATGGGATGTGGAAAGATAATTTTTGTCACACTGATTCAACCTACCTGAGGCCTGCTAATAATGAGCTAGGCAAGTTTTTCAAATGATCTAAGAAAAATGTAAGCTGCTTTAATAGAGACAGACATAAACAGAAATTAAGTGATAGATTCAATAGCAAGAGGCATATTCTTTCAAGACTCAGTGAAATTTTGGAGTTTTGGTTTCTACTACTAAAACTTCATAATCGGAACTCTCAGAACAAAACTAACAGAAAATAGGAACTTAAGCATAAGCAACAGTGCTCACTGAGAGCTCACAAGTACTTGAGCATTCATCTCCAGCTCAGATCCACCTTATTTTGGCTGTGTTTTCTAACTTACTCCCTTAGTTAACATTTTCTGTGAATACTAGTTGCTTTCCATAGGGACCAAAACCACAAACTCGAGAGAATGACCACACTTCCTTTCCATGAAGAGTGAGAAGGGAAAAATTTTTCCTTGGATGTGTTTTTCCAATGAAATTCAATTTCTGCTTTCCAAGAAACGCCAATTGGCTCAGAAGTCTCTGAGAAGAAACAGTGCTGGGAAAGTCAAGCAGATACCACTCCACAAAACCATAAAGCAAAATCCCAATCTTTCAGGTTTACATCAGCCAAGGGGTTAAAACCTGAACATCTCGGTTGAGTTGCTGAATCCACAGGTGGAAGGTGTTAAGTGTGGAAAGAGATACTCAGCCGCATTTGGGACCATGCTGGGAAAGCCTTTATGTGTGAGAGAACCCCCACCTCAACCCCTAAATATTAAGTTGACACACGTTTCTGGGACGCGGCCTGAATCCTCAAACTTTGGCGGGTCTATAGAGACACAATTTTCTGTTTTCTGCTTAACAGGGCTTTCCAGAATTGTCATCAAATGACAGATTACACCACCCATCCACAAGGATTCAGGGGTAGCTCAGGCCATCCATTATGGGTTAAAAGCTGTTCTAACATGAATCGAGTCACAGTAGTAAGGAGACTACCAATACAAGGGGTCCTACAGCTTTAAGAAATACCCTGGGCATCTAAAAGTTCTCAGAATGCAAACTTTGTCAGCTCTGAAAACAAGAGGCACTGCATCATTATGGCAGGAGAAACAAAGCCAGCCCCCTTTTAAAAAACAGACCAAAAAAAAAGATTGTTTTAATAGGAGAGAAGCATCAGTCATTGATTCTTACTTCATTCACACTTTCTATCCAACCCCATCCATCTTCACAGTGAAGAGATGACAGAGCCCAGTTAACTCCCTCTTTCGGCCCCCGCCCATACTGCTCCTCTATACCCAATCCACCAAGGCCTACCAACCCACCCTTTTCAATCTGCAAGCAACAGCTCTATAGCACGACTCTTTCTGTCTAATGGGCTTGCAAAGCTCAGGTATACCTAAGTACCAGCTTTCATCACATTACTTCAGTAGGGTTGCCTGTCAGGTTAGCATGACTGGTCAGGGCCTTTGCTAATTATCTAAAATGACCACTTAGTCACTCATGGCTGACCACATTCTACAAAGGAGGGGATGGGAAGACTTAAGGCAACAGAAAAAAGTCAACAAACCAAACCAACAATCCAGAATGTAAAATATTTCATTTTTCTTAAATGCTACTGCCCTCATTATCTGCAAACAAAAGTCCTCTGGGCAGGCAGTCTCTGCATCAGTGCACCTGCTTAGCATTGGTTTGCTGAGCTATCTTTTTGCTGTGTCTGCAGAAGCCAACTATAGCACAATGGGTCACATCACTTGAGGGTCACTTGAGTCCCTCTACATTCTGGGTCCCTCCTCCCACCTCCTGCCTTCCCTTCCACCCACAAAACCTTTAACTCCACCATAGCTAAGGATCCCAGATAGCTAAATAAAAGAGGTGGCCTCAAACACAGGGAAAAACCCTTAGGTCTCCAGTGTGAATCGCCAACGCCAATCCCCCTCCCCTCCCCTTTTCCTTAAGACCTGATGGTCTTCAGTCACACATCTTAAAAGAAAAACAAAAAACAAAAACACAAAGACTTACTTGTCTCAAGTCGATGAAGGCCAACTGCAGCGTGTCCTCCTGGAACCCAGGCACCGGGCCGGATCTGGCAAACTCTGTGGGAAAGAAAAGAGGATAAAAAGCGCCTTTAACTAACCATGGACAGGGAGATTGGCAGACGGATGACAGGGAAGACAAGAGAGGCTGGGGGAGAGGAGGACCAAGCTTCTAAGGAGTCATGTCTCTCTCCCTTCAGCTTCTTTGTTTGCCCTTCAAAATTCGTGTCATCAAAACACCATTAATTCCAGCATCCTGACAGCAAGGAAACTGTACTAATTCGACCTGAAATTTATTCCCATGAGCTGCGCTGGGCTTCAGAGTATTTGTTTTGTGAATGGACAAACAACTTGCAAAGGAGGAGGGAGTGGGGGAGAGAAAAAAGTTTTTCCTCTCAACACAATAAAATCTTCAGCTGTGAAACTCTTTTCAGTTCTGAAAGCTATTTATATTTTAGATCGCTGAAGGAATTTTCTAATTTCACGCCTGTCACCTCATTCCCCAAGCATTTATCAAAAAATATTCCCCGCCACATCATTAATTATTCCCTCACTGATTATTTGTATTATCTCATGAGTGCATTATCGCCAACACACACACAGACACACACTCACACACACACACCAGCAGCAGAGGCTACCCCAATCTAGTACTTGGCTCTTCAGTAAAAGAGTATTGCAGATATGAAAAGACCCATCTAAATAAATCTCACTGCAAAAACTTAGGAAACATTTGTACATGTCCATCCTTCTAGTGTATTCTTTGTTCTTGACTTCTACTTCTATTCCACTCTCAAAAATTCTTTTTTCTCTTCCTTCTATCCCAATTTAGTCTTAGGTCAAAAGAGACCACATGAATGCTATTTGCAATTTACAGTAGCGCCTTGGGTACATGCTCAGTTTATGACTCTGGCTTCTACATTGTTAATAAGAAGATAACTGCACAGGGCTATAGGGACAAATACTAGTAACAGTTAAGAATGTCAAATTTTATTGTCCCTAAGCCCTGCTTATTATGCAATCAAAAGGTCTTGTTTAAGCCTCTACATACACACACACACACATACATACAGAGCAAATTCAAAAGTTGGACAGTTACTAACTATGCCTTGAATTCTCTCTGTGAAGCCAAAGCATGATAAACATTTAACATCAATCTACTATTTACCTCAAAAATAACAAGTATCTGCTCAAAGCAAATATGAAAAGGAATGTTTTCCTTTCAATTATATTTTTCTTCAGGAATGAATTTAAGAAATTATAGAAAGTTGGTATCATGTTAGCCTTTTGAAATTAAATAAAATCCATCAAGATATTTGCATATATGTCTGGAAAATTACTTCAAACAACTAGTAACTGCATAGATTCAAATGATGATTTATGAACAATGACAGGAACTTCTGTTCTTTAAAAATATTTTCCATCTAGGAAATGTCTACTAGGTTTTCATAAAATCCTTGACCTACTTTAAAAAATGTTATCAAGGTAAGTTGCAGGGAACACAAAAACATTATGTGAAGTGAAATTTAAAACAAGTTATTAAACGAATTGTATAGAGCGCAAAGTGTTGTACAACTTGTAACACAAAATATTCTTATTCTAGAGATTTTAAATAAAAATGACTCAAATGGAAGGAGATAAACTACATAGAATGATTAGCAAATTAAGTTTCTATTTACTTTGGAAAGAAAATTTATATGCCATTTATAAATGAATTCTACCATATGTATAGCCCAAATGATTAAAGTTTTAAAAAAGTAAAGTTCTAAGACTATACAAATACATGATGAGAGCCATGTTAATAAAAGCTTGACAGAATCCATCCTTCATATCTTACAATAGCCATTATCTGTGATAAACTTGTATAAGGCCACTGCTCAATTGCAAGTACAACTTTCCCATACTATGCTCCTGTAGAAAGCAGTTCTATGAATTATAGCCACAGCCACTCTTTTTGAGTCTTGATTGTCAGGTGGTCAGCTTAAATAAGCTTCCCATGCCTGGTAGTTTCATCCAAGGTTGGTAGATTATCACTGTTGCTCCCGTATGACATAACAGCTGTGCTGCATCATCTGAAGTCCTCTCTGTCAGTAGGAACCCTACCTGAGTAAAGATGCAGCAACTATCACGGTGTTCTGCTGCCCTACACATATTCAGTTCAACAGGACTACCCTATGATACATGGTTTGAATGCCTCTCACTGTTGTGGCCTCTCCCGTTGCGGGGCACAGGCTCCGGACACACAGGCTCAGCGGCCGTGGCTCACGGGCCCAGCCTCTCCGCGACATGTGGGATCTTCCCGGACCGGGGCACGAACCCATGTCCCCTGCATTGGCAGGCGGACTCTCAACCACTGCGCCACCTGGGAAGCCCGGCTACACATTCTTGAATCTCCTTATTGGGCATGCCCCCTGGGGTTGACATGATGCTGATGAAACTACTCAGGAATCGGGATGTGATACATATTTAGTCAGAGCTGTACTTTATAGACCTCATTTTATGATACACTGAATCTTCCAGGTTCCCAGAGGACATGGTGGCCTTTTAGATTTGATTTTCCTTTTATAAATCAGGGAATGAAAATTACATCATGTGTGACAAAGTAAAGAGATTAATTTTTGTGTATAGCTTATGGAAATGTTTAATTACTATATATTCAACTTCATATTTACATTTTTTCCTCATTGTTTTATATATGTAATTCTTGTCTTCCCACATAGGCAGTAAAGTCCTTAGGGATAAGGACCACATCACAGAACGTAGCAAGTATTAAAAACAGTAGATGTCCAACAAATACTTATATATTAATTTACAGAAATAACAAGATTAACTAATTACACATATTCTTTACTGCCAATGAAAATCTTTGGATTGCAATAGTAGGGTGCCTTTAACCTGAGTATCAATAAGTAGGCTTTAGGAATTTATGAGCTCCCTAAAATTAGATGCCCAATGATTGAGGAGATGGGCTTTGGGTCATAAAAATTAGTTTGAGCTCCAGTTACTAGCTCTAAGGTCATGTGCAAACTACTTAATCTCCTTAAAGCTTCAACGTCTTTATCTCAAAAATAAGGGTAACAGTATATTCCTTATAGTGCTGCTATGAGGATTAAGTGAAACAACTATGTAAAGCAGTTGGCAGAGTACCTGGCATATCATAATTGATTACCATTACAATTAGCTTTTTTTGTGGGAATATGTGTTTCTCTGAAGAAGGTTCGTATCTTTTATTGACTTCTCAGAGGGTTGGTGACCAAACAAAGGTCAAGAGACACTATTCTATATCCAGGACGAAACATTAGAAGAAATTCAGCTACTATTCAGTCATGAGTTAGTGAGTTGGTATTGAAAATTTATAGGCAAATATTTAAGTGCTTCACTTAAAGGAAGCTGATATGACTAATTACTAGTGTATTAGCCACAGCACAGTAATTTTCACTGGTATTATTTTAGAAATCAATAAATGCATGAAATAGGTCTCCCATAATTTTGTGATTCAATTATTTCCTTTAAAACATGACTGTTCTTCTAGAGCCAATTTTTTCCATATATGAAAAATGTTAATAGCGTAAGAAAGTGTGAATATTTTTTTTAATTAAAGTTTGTATTTAGTCTGACGTCAACTATGTAGAATATAATATGAATAGAAAACACAACAGTAAGCATTTATTTCATAATGTTAACTGAGGCTGGTAAAGAGAGGAAGATTACAAGGGGTTTTATTACTCTTTACATTTTATAAACTTTAAAAATGAGTAGAGACCACTTTTATAATCAGAGAAAAGGAAATAGAAGGACACACACACCCCCCTCAAAATTATTTAGTGCTATTTTCTCTAGTAATAAGAGATAGAACTTGTTCAAGATTTAGAATTAGAGGCAACTGGGGTTGATTTGCATACCCATGTCCTCAGAGGCTGCTTGACAGAGAGAAGGAAAACTACACGTGGGAGGGGACAAGGAGCCCCAAGTCTGCGGACACATATACAAACTGATTATATGTACACACAGAAGCTTTTCTTTAGAATCATGAATAAAAACTTTCCTTCTTTTGACATCATGAAAAGGAGTACATGTCTGTACTAGTGGCCAAGTGGAACTGATGGATATATGGGGCACTGTGAAAAAGTCTCTTTCTGGACTTGTCTCTGGATTCCAAGGTCTATGGTATGTTTTCAGTCTCTAAGTGGCTTAAGCCAGTGTGCCAAAGTTTCCAAAGGCTGAAGTTTGGCAGAGTGGCCCTCCACTTAACACAGAACCAAATCCTACCTTTGACTACCTTACGTTATGTGGGGACTGAATCAAGGTTCCAAAGAGGCTGGCAAGAAAGCTTCCTCTCGGAAAACTTGTTCAGGTTAGTGGAGCCCCTGACCAGCACCCAGCCATCCTTCAGAGAGCTCGGCTCTCCCCAGCAGCTCTTCCCTGACCTTGTCCAATCACAGTATGGACAAGAGTTGAAGCTGGGATCAGGGCCTGCCTCCAAGATCCAATTTGCAAATGTGAAAAATCTTTTAATGAGATAAATTTTCATTTTAAAAAAATTAAAAGGAGGTGTACAAAGTTATAGGAAAGAAGGCATATTGTATAAAGAGGTATAAAGAGGGAAAGAAAATAAGAGGTATAAAGGTATAAAGAGGGAAAGAAAAAACCCCTCACTTAACAAATATCCAACATTCCTTCACATTCTCATACACGCTTAAATCGATGAGGTGAGGCAATTGTTTTTAAAGCAATATTAAGTTCTCAAAAGTATCCTATAGTTTTACATTTCTAATAATCTTCATATAATAATGAAATAAAATTGCCAAAGTACAAAAAGGAGGGATTCCACTAATTTCAAAATGCTTTCTACACTGCTTGAAGGCTGGTCTTAAAATTAACTGCCGCTTAGATGGGGGGAGGAAAAAACTGTTTAAATCAACTTAAAAATTATCTGGTACATTCATATTTGGCTGAGGAAAACAAAATATAAATTTTATAAAGAGCAGAGAACCCTAATTAGAATAAAACGGAAAAGTCAGAGTTAGAAGGGGCTTTGAGGAATCAAAATGACTGCCTTA